TACACACAGTAGCCCATGGCAACCCACTGCCACAGGGGCTGCAGCCTACACTGTCACCGGCGACTCACAGCAGCCCAGCTGAGCTGTTGTTCAGCATCTTAGCTGTGGAGGGCAGTGTCACTGGCCCTCATATGTGGGATCCGAACCGGGGCCCTCTGACGTCCCAAGCCAGTTCTTAACCATCGCGCCACTCGGCCAGCCCAATGCTTATTTTTATTAAAGCAATACATGCACATGGTTTAAAAGCCAAATAATGCTAAAATACTCATGAACAAGGCAGCGGTCCCTGCACCACCCCCTCTCACAAACCCATCCCGCTTCTTATAGGCAATTCCTTCAACTCTCTTGGCTCTTTTGATTTCTACATAATTATGGGAATTCCTCCACTTCTATTATCTCTCAAATCATCCATTTTAGATATTACCTAGTGACTTCCTATTAAGATAAATGAAGATTTTAGCTCTGTTCACACCCCTCTTTCCCCCCTCCATCTTTCTACCATAGTTATAACACGATTTAGGTGAAATCTATATTTGGGTTTTTTATTATTATAACCACATAAATATTGTTCACTGCTGAGTTCATAACAATTGTTTCATTTTTTTATTTGAATTTATCACGAAATCTTCCCACTCCCACCAACTACTATAAACAACTCTTGAATTTTCCACATAATCAACTCTGTCAGAATAGTCAGTCATTTTCTTTTTTCCCAACCCTTCTCAGCCCCCCACTGATACACCTCCTCTCTGAAGCCCCCAACTTCCTGCTCCATCTGGACTGGTGGCGCTGGCTTTCCAGTCTCTGCTTCTTGGTTCTGTTCTTGAGCTAAGAACTTCTTATTTCATCCCCTCAGGGGGCTCCTCACCCTCCCTGCTGCTGAGTGTCCGTTGGGTATCTATCTCCTGGATTCCATGTCTCCTGTCTTGGTTTCTTTGTCTTTGTAGAGCACCTCCTGCCTTAGCTTCCAGACAAAGTTGTAAGGAGGTACATTTTTTAAGACTTTGCATATCTGAAAACATCTTCATTCTACCTTCACGGATGCGAGCTTCATTTTAGAATTCTAGATTGAAAATCATTTCCACTCAAACCCATGACAGCTTTGTCCCAGGACCTTCTAGGTTCCCATGTTACTATTGAGAAATCTGATGCCATTTTGGTTCTTGAACAATTTGTATGTGAGCGGGGTTTTCTGAAATTTTTAGAATCTTGCCTTTATCCCTGATATTCTGAAATTTCACAGCTATATGCCTTGATGTAGATATTTTTCATTTATTTAGTGGAGTATTGGTCTGAACCATTCAATCTGGGAAATTTTCTTGTGTTTTTCTGTTAATACTTCCCTCCCCTGTCCTTTCTCTGTTTTGCCTAGAACTATTGTTAGCCAGATATTTGACCTCCTGAACTGATCCTCTCATTTTCTTATCTTTTATCTCATAATCCATCCCATGTCTTTTTTGAATTCTCCTTTCCATGAGATCTCTCTGATGTTAGCTTCTTTTTTCAGTGAAAAAAAAAATCAGCTATCACTGTTTTAATTTCAAAAGGACTTTTTTGTTCTGATTTTTTTAAATAAGCATATAACATGCTGTCTTTATTTTTAAGATGTACTATCTTCTCTTATCTCCCTGAGAGTATTATGATCTGTCTCTTTTCTTAGTTCCTTTTTTTTGTCTTTGTTCTGATCTGTTTCTTGTTGGAGATTGTCCATTCTTATTAAGCGTTGGGTCCTAAGAATTGATGGAAGCTCTTTGTGAAAGGGCATAATCATAGGATAATTTTTATTGGTACTTCGAAGTGCCCTTGGTAAGTTTCTTTGGAGGACCCTCCAAACTCTTGCCTTTTGGTTAAAGCCTAGCTGCTGGCATTGGAGTGTGTATATTTCACTTAATCTCCATTTTCCACCTGGGCCCTCATCTTCAGAAGCCTTATGCTTACCATCTGTAAGTTTGCTCCAGAGGAAATGCCTCCTAGCTCCTATAGAACACTCCATGGTTCCTGGCTTTGTGGGGCCAGGATAGGAGCTACCTCTTACATCAACCCCTCAATTTCATCTCTCTCCAGGCCCACCTTCCATGGTGTCCAGCACCTGGCACTTCTGGTTCCTGAGGCCTTCAGGGCTCTGCATGGGAAAATGGTTTGCTTCATGTTGGTGTATCTCTTTTAGCCAGCACTTCAAAGTGATCTTCTAAGACATTTACCATTTCTCCATCCTATTTTTGCTTTTGTGTAAAGCAGATGAGATTGCTGGCTTCGCCTAGTTTCATTGCGAATGAAGTTTGTATAGGATTTCTTGCACTCCTTGTTATTTGGGGGTAGATTTTAAGAGAAGAGGGACAGAAATATCTTCACGCCACCATCTTAAAACCACAAGAATATATCAGGTAGGCATTAAGTTTGTATTAAGCCTACATTATCTTTTAATCCTCACAACTATTAATATTACCATTAGTGGAACTGAAGTTCAGGAGAGGTTAAATTATCTGACCAAGGTCAAGTTGGGAAGTGGCTAAGAAGCCAGGTCTGGCCAGGAGGAAATCCATGCTCTTTTGCTTCCTCTCTTTTGCCTCCAAACACCCTGAAATCAAGAGAAGATGGTAAACTATGGTCCAGCCTGGGTTAATATCTGGGGATATAGTGTGAGGGGGCCCTTCAGGGAAGAAAGGGTCTCCTGCATTTGTGAGAACTTCTAGATGACTAGTATCTCTCTGAGTCCATGGAGACTCTAGACTGTTAACCAAGGGTAACAACAAGAAACATGATATACTGGGTTGTTGTAAAAGTCATGACACAGTTTTGCAATGAAAAACATAGAAAAAAATAATTCATGACTTTTCCAACAACCCATTACTAAAAGTAGGGTCAGCTTTGGAGAAAGAGCTGAAGGACTCAGGGGGAATCCCAGACTTAGATCACAGAGAAACCATAAGTCCTAAGAGAACTTGGAAGAGAAATTGGTTTCACACTCTGAGGGCAAGAGAGATGCTTTTGTGGGCTCTGGACTTAAACCAATCCTGAGACAATGGTGACTTCTAGACCCCAGCTTCTCATTGTTATCAGGATTAGGGCTCCTAATATTGCCCAGACCTGGCTCTCACCTCAGCCGGGGGGTGATTGAGCTTTCAGGTGACTAATAGGGTTGGGAATAGAATAACTTAGAACTGACAATGTTGGTCCATCTGTATGTGCATAGCTCATTTTTTAGACCCAGTTGTAGGTCCCTACATTAACCCTCGGTTTAATTTCATCTTGTGAGAGTTTGCCAAAAGATGGCACATGGGTTTCATTTCATAGACCAGCCCTAATGAGTGACGGCTGCCTGGACCACCACAAAAAAAGAGAATGATTGTGTGGCTCAGGGTAACGGCTGCTTAGAGATGCCTGCCATGGGTGTAGAATAGGAGAGGTGAGGATTCAGGTCGTCTCCTCTTCCCAGATTTGTGTCCTCCGTACACGTGATTGGGATGCTCTCAGTGGCCTTAGTCAAGTCACTGATAAAGTTTGATTGAGATAGATCCAAGGGCAGTGCCACTCGGTGCAGTTTTGAGATTGACTTGGGACTTGGCAATGATATACAATCATTAGATAGAGTCTGTCACATTTAGGATTATTTTTGGAATTGATTTCTGGCAACGTTTTTCCATCTTGTGTCCAAGAGTTTTCCTGTAAACCCACTCCCTGGATAGGACAGAAGAGGGTCCACTTCTTTCACATCCATTCCTGAGACACATACACTGGGATGTTGAGAAGTGAGTGGATCACAGAAAAGAAGACATAAGCCCTCAAATTTATAAGCTCTGGGGTCCCATATTTAGAGAGCAACACTTCAGGACTCCAGCCCATGGTCTCTCTTCATGTCCTCAGTAGACACTGAGTCTCATGGGGAAAACGAGCAGTGAAGGTTATACAGAACATAAAAACAACAAAAAAACCAAACAGGCACACTGCATTTCAAGCAGCTCATACTTTTATCATAAAACACAAACTTTCTAAAATTAAGTGTCTTCTATTTTAGCAACAACAACAAAAACAAAAATCACTTGTGTTAGCTAAATATAGGTACATAGGTGGTTAACCAAGTGAGTACGAATCTGGGGGGGGAAGGGGGCTGATTTGGGCTGTGAGTGAGTGTTGGTGAATAGATGAGTCTGGTCTTGCTGTCTTCTGTCAGTGACCTGATTGGAACCTTGGCTTTCCAAGCTTCATACCAAGCTGGTGAAGAATCCAGAATTCAAGAGCCCTGAGCTCTCATCCAAGAGCTAAGGCAGGAGGAGGGAGAAGAGAAGGAGACCTAAAAATTTATGCCATTCCCACTGGAGGAAAAATAGGGGCTATTCATCAGGGGCCCACCAGACGCTGAGCCGAACCTGCGAGAGAAAGAAGATGGATGTCATGATGAAATTCTTGATATTAGAGGAGATATTAGGAAAAGTAATGTTTTAATTTTGTGGCTGTCAAAGACTGTGAAGGTCGTGACAGGCTTGGAGGCTAAAAGCTCTAGCATAATAAAAAAGCTTTGGCTCTGGGAAAATAAAATATTAAAATGATACAACTGGAGGACAATAAAAAGCATTTTCTGCCACTATCTTAGGTCAGGAAGCCCCCAGCAGCCTGTGGGGAGTGTTTCTACAGGGCCTACGCTCTCACCAGGTTCAGGAACACAGGGCAGGGAGCTTCTCTGGATCTGACCCCCTTACCTGTGGGTCTGCAGCCACTCTACCTGCCTTAGAGGACCAGATGTGTCCTTCAGGAAATTCTACAATATCAGAGAAGCCAGGGCCATGACCCAGCATGAGATCTCCGAGTCTGGACAACCCCAGGGCTCCTCCTCTTCTCAGCACCAAGCTAGCTCAGGCTCTTGGTTTCAATGCCAGTCCGAGAAGCAAGCACTGGGACCCCACTGAGTGCCTGGGACTTTGCTCAACCCTCAGGGATGGAAGAGCCAAGAAGATCTGAACCTCACCCTCCACGAGCAGAAATACCCGCACTCTGCTTTTTCTCCCTGGCACACTCCTTTTTGTACTTTACGAGAGAGTTCAAAAGCCATCTCCTCTGTGAAGCCTTCCCTGACCTTTCCAGATGGAATCATTTACTCATACTTCTGGGATCCTATTGCAATTTCGCAACCCATCTGCTAGGATACTTGGAATGAATGGGAGGAGAGCTCAATACAAATTGCAGCCAAGCAAGTGGCTAGATTTAGTCTAATCCGGGGATTCTCAGCCACTTTTCAGCTGGGCAGATGCGTCTTACAGCTGCTCACGTTCATGGCACCCTCCCCTGAATTGATAAAATGAAAAAGGGGGGGGGCGGAGGAGGGAAGAAGCAATGGGGGCAAAGCGCTGCATCAATTTGTAAGGCGTCAGCGGGGGATCAGTATCTGCTGCTCACTGAGTGTCTGGGGACAAGCTAGGCTTTGGGTTATGTTTGATTCCCTTCACACCAAAATAGATTCTATGACGGCAGGGATGTTTATCTGGACTATCCACCATTTTACACCCAGAACCCAGCCCAGGACCTGACATGAGGTAGGTGCCTGATACTCAATTAATGCCAGCAGCTTTTTCTCTCTTTCAAAAATCATATTGGAATATAAATGATTGAGAGTGATGTTACTATAGAGATACCCTGGATTCCACTCTGATTTGTAAAATAAAGACCGTAACCCATACTTCACATCTAATCATTCCCAGTAACAATTTACTCAGAGCATGCCTTGTATCTGATTACCACACCCCATGCCTCTGGGTCCTTCAGGTTGAGAACTTCTGATTGGATCAACTGTCAAGGGCATGGTCTAGACAGGATGAACACCAGAGGGCTAGGAAGAGGGGCCATCCATGGGGACTAGAGTTATCAAGGAATGCTTCCTGGAGGGAGAAGGTGGAGTTTGAACTGCCTCTTGAGCGTGGTGACCTGTCCTGGTTTGGCTGGGACAGTTTCTACACTGGTATTTCCAGTGTACTTATTATTATCTGTGCTCCTTTTAATTCTCAAGCTTATTCTTATTTGGAAGGTCAGTTGTGTGGTGATTCTACCCTGAGGAATGGATGCGGATTGACTTGGCAGAGGGAAGGGAGGGCTACCCTTCTTTCCTGACAACATGGAAGCCGCCTGCTCCTTCCTCTCCCACTTCATGTATCGTCTCTTGTTCTCTCCTTCGCTCCTGACCCTGAGGAAGCGCTGACCCTCGTCTCCTGGACTAAACTCCTCCCCTAGACCTTGTTCTAGGAGAAGCCTCTCCTAGACCTTGTTCTATCCAGCACCCCTGGTAACCCCCCAACCAATGCCACTGCTGTGCACAGTGCTCCCAGCATTCCATCCTACAGCGGCTGGATTTTCTTTCCATCACCCTGTGATCCTTCCGCCTCTCCTCTAGGAAATGATTTCTTCACTTGGCTTCCTGAATTCTACACTCTCCTATTTTTCCTCCCACTTCATAATGCTCTTTCTTAGACCCTTTGCTGGTTCCTCCTCATCTCCCAACCTCTCTGCATGCTGGAGGCCCAGGGGCTCCATCCTCGGGCCGCCTCTCTTCTCTAAGTTCACACACTCCCTGGGCGGCCTTGTTCCATCCCATGCCTTTAAAGATCATCTATATGCTAATGACTCCCAGATTTATATTACCAGCCCAACCTCAGCCCTGAGCCCCAGAATTATCTATCCACCTGCCTCTCAACAGCTTCACTCACATGTCTAATAGGCATCTCAAATTTTACATATCCCACACCAAACTTTTGATCAATGGATCTTTGCCCTAGTCTTCTTGACCTTGGTATTGTGACATTGCCACTGATCCAGTCATTTCAGTCTCAGAAACTTAGGAATAATGCTTGACTCCTCTTTTCCTGATTCCACATCCAACGATCACAAAGTCCTTGTCAGTTCTGCCAAGACAATAAACACTCCACATCTGTCACTTGTCCTCTTTCCCATGGTCACTGCCTTAGTTCACACCACCAGCATCTCTTGCTCAGATGGCTATAAAGTCTCCTGCCCTCCTCCCCTGCGTCAGCTCTGACCCCACACTCCGCTCTTCACACCTCAGCCAACCTCATCTTCTCCAAATAGAAAACTGAGACGTGTCCTCACCAGTGTGAAAGTCTTAATGGCTTCTCACTGCTTTAAAAAAAAAAAGCACCATATCATGCCTACCAGGCCCTATCTAGTCCGGCACTGCCTATTCCTCCGGTTTCCATTCCGCCCACTCTCCCCCCGACTCATTGTGCTCCAGTTACACTTCCCGTCTCCGGCCACTGCGCCTTCTATTCTTTCTGCCCAGAGTGCTCATCGCCCATGTATATGGCTGGCTCATTCTCTCATTTCATTTAGATCTCAGCTCAAGAGACTTCCCTTCATCCCTCTCCTCTCACTCCCAGCACCTGGCGTGTATGCTGCTTGTTTATCTCCTTCTTGTCTGTTTCTCCCCTTGGAAGGAGAGAAGAGAAACTTTGTCTTGTTCGCTCCAGTACCTAGAGCCTAGAACAGTGCCAGGCACATAGAAGGTGCTCAATGAATATTTTTTAAAGCCACAAATCATCCTTTCTGGAGACACAGGCCTGCACCCCTTGCCTCACTTTTCTGACCTCACTTTCCTGGTCTTCTCAACCTCTCCGGTGACCTCTCCACCCTGCTCACTGCCACCACTCCTGTTACTCTCCTCCTTTGCCCATGCTGTCTCTGGCTGTCCCCAGGCTCCCTCCCACTTTTTTAATTAATTAACTAATTTATTTATTTATTTTTAGGGTTAGGGTTAGGGTTAGAGACAAGGTTAGGGACAAGGTTAGGGTTAAGTTTAGGGTTATGGTTAAATTGGTTTAGGGTTACGGTTAGGGTTAGGATTAGGGTTAGGGTTAGGAATAAGGGTTAGGGTTAGGGTTAGGGGTTAGGGTTAGGTTTAGGGTTAGATTAAGGTTAGGGTTAGGATTTGTGTTAGGGTAAATGTTAGGGTTAGGGTTAGATTTAGGGATTAGGGTTAGGATTAGGGTAAAAATTAAGGTTAGGGTTAGGGTTTGGTTTAGGGTTAGGGTTAGGGGTGGGTTTAGGGGTTAGTGGTTAGGGTTAGGGTTTGGGTTAGGGTTAGTGTTAAGGTTAGGGTTTAGGGTTAGGGTTAGGGCTAGGGGTTAGGATAAGGGTTCTCCCTCCCACTTTTAAGACTGCTCCTTCCTCAGCCTCCTGCTCACTCCTTTTCCTTTCCCTGCCCTTGTAGACAGCCAGAGACCAGGTCTCAAACCCGCCCTTACTGCTCCCCATGAGGGCTTCTCAGCTGCTGACTGATGAGACCTCAGGACCGTGCTCCCTCCCAAGTACAGCCAGTTGCAGCTTCTGCTGTGAGCCTCCATTCCCATGAGCTCAGGGCCACAGCATGAAATGTGGGGAGTTTGCCTACCTGCAAGTAGTCTGTTTTGATCCCTGTACAGTCTCAGCCACTCTCACCTCCAGGGAGGTGAGAACCTCTCGTAGGACCCCTTCAGTCACCTCGAGACTACACCTTCTTGCCTTCTGTCGCTTTCTCCTCCAGCCCATCAATCCACTCTAATGTGCACAAATCTGCACTGGATTCCCCAGGCCTTGCAGTCAGGAGCCTTCAATAATCCAGTCCCAACCTCTTTTTCTCAATCCTACGTTTCACCTTTTTCGGGGACAAATCTAATAATTCAACCAGATGTCATTATTCCCCAGGCCTCGAGCTTGTCATGATTCACACCTGGGGCCTCACTCCTAACTCGTGGAACGCCCTTCTGCAATCGCTGCTCAAGGGAACCTCCCCGTCCTGCAGTCCCCTCACTGTCCACACAGCAGGGACCCTCCCTCTGTCCTCAGGCCACTTTGATGGTCTTTACTTTGTCATGGCTCTAACATCATTATGCCCACATCTCACCCACTCTCAGTTCTTTGAAGGAAGGAGCCCTAATCACCTATGGCCCCTCCAACAGGCTAAATTCATATAAACTATGTAAATTAATGCAGCGCTTTCCAGGGTGTGTTGGGTAGAACACACCATGATATGCCCTATAAGAAAAAGGAAAAAACTAAGGTGGAGAGTCGGAGGGAGGGAGAAAGAAAGGGAAGAAGGCAGGATAAGAGGGAAAAAAAGAAAGCAAGAGAAAAATATGGGCTTGTGGGGTTTATGTTCAAATAACACTATCGACCACCTTGGACAGCCTCCTTGCATCCTTGGAAATGAAATGACCTGAGAATTCCAACAGCTAAGAAACATGTTCATCTTTGTGTCTCACAGCTTTTCACTTTGTGAGGGGTGAAATGTCTAACTATTACTTTGTTTTGTACACCTGAAACTAATACAAATAAATAAATAAATAAATAAATAAATAAATAAATAAATACAAACTAACTAAATAAATAAATGAGACACTGGGGTGGGGTTGGGGGACCGCTGGTGGAAAGGATGAGAGTTTGGGGACACACACCGCCACTACAGCCAGGCTCTGGGATGGGGAGGTCGGGGGGAGAGGAATCAGTGTCAGGTGGGTAAGTCTGGCCCTAATTCTATAACCTGAGTTTCTGAGACTGGGACACAGGTGTCCCAGGGTGTGCGCCCCGAGGCTTGGGTCCACAGGAACGGCACAGCACCACCTGCCTCTCAGAGCATCGTCACTAGTTGAAGATTTGGTGGGTGGGAATGAGTCACTCTGTGTTGTTATATTAAAACAACAAACACACATTTATGACTGACCAGCATGTAAAATTTGTGTGGAATTTTCAGCTGAAATGTTGAGTTTGTGTTGGCTGTTTGCTGCTAAGCCCCTCTCCGTCGCTGTTTGGGGGTACTTTGGGGGAAAAGCGTGAGCCGCCCTGATAAGCAGTGGAAGGTCCTCCTGCAGGGCCACAGAGTCAGTGGGATGTTCGGGAGATTAGCCTGGCGAGGAGCTTAGGGTGCAGTGAGTGGGGGGACAGCTGTAAGAAGATTACCTGGCCATGTCCCGCGGTAAGCCAAGCAAATGGGTAAAGACAAACACGCCATGGTCCACCACCTGCCACCTGCTACGATGGGGTGCCGTCCACTACTGACTGCGCAGTTGCCTTTCTGCAGCCAGGCTGAAGGGCCCCAGCCCCGAAATGGGCCAACAAAAGGGGCCCACTAGGGCCCAGACCCTGTTCACCTCTCCAGGTCCAACCACAATGCACACAGCCTCCAAACACCAACACAGGGCCCTCCCCTCCCCCCAGCAGTAAAGCCCAGCACACTCGCCCCAGCCCCTCCCCACCCCAACCCCCAGCAGCTCTTTGGACACATGTTGGACTTCAGTGCGGGCTGAGGACTCACCCATATGGCTGGGGAAAAAGGAACTGTGGTCCGTCTCCTGCCATGGGGGAAGGGTCTTGGGGGTTGGTGGACAGCTTTGGAGGTGTCCTCTGAGGGTATGAAAAGTTGGGCTGGAAGAAGGGGATGTAGCTCAGCAGGGGGGTATAGGAAGAGCGGAAAATCTGCTGTCCCATCTGCTGTGGATTGTACGGTGTCACCTGCAGGTCAGAGAGAAGAGAGGAGCAAGGCCCAGCAGAGCCCACCGCTTCCAACATCATGGCTCCCTGACCCTAACTGTAACCCCAGCCCCACCCCTCCGCCCTGGGCCCTCAGGCACTGTGGGGTACATAGAAGGCAACGTGTTGGAATGGAAAAAGCACAGGGCTCCACTTTATGTTAGTGGCAAGTGACTGAATTTAGCCGAGCCTCAGTTTCCCCATCTGTGAAATGGGCAAACGCTATCTCTGTTTTATGGGGACTGTGTCAGTTGATATAAGTAAAGAGACTGGCACATAATAAGTAGCAAAGAAATATCATGTCTACTCTCTTCTCTGTCTCCCTACCTTTCCTTCTGTCAATGGCCATCCTCAAAGCCCCTTGTTCATTTTTAAGTCTTCTACTAACTCAAAAAAAGCTGTTGAGATTTAAACATCCCTGGTTTCTACCTCAGGATCTCAGCAGATTCCATGTCCAAGACAGCCCCGCCCAGGAAACTCCTGTGATGGATGCTGGAAATGTTCTTTATCTGCATTGCCAGATGTGGTAGCCACCAGCCACATGTGGCTACTGAGTACTTGAAATGTGGCCAGCGTGCATGAGGAACTGAATTTAAAATTTTACTTAACTTTAATGGATTTAAATGTAAATAGCCACAACTGGCTAGTGATTATAGCGTTGGATTGTGTGAGTCTAGGAGAAAGGGCAAAAAAAAGGCAATGGGATTCAGCTGAAACTCTAGAGAAAAATAGGAACCAGTGGGGTTTGGGAGACCACCTAGATCAGACTCCCACCAAGAGCCAGAGCTCCCATTATCATGCCCTTGACAAGGCAGGAATCCCATCTGTCTTATTTACTGATATAGTCTCAGCCCTAAGACAGTGCCTGGCCCACAGTAGCTGCTCAATAAACATATGTTAAATGAATGAATGCAAAAAATAAAGACATCAAAAGAAGGAGGAGGAAAGAAGAGATCATTAAGTGTCTGCTTGAATACCTAAGATGACGGGGAGCTCATTACATTATGAGCATTGTATTCCACTACTGACAGCTCCGAACGTCAGAGAACCCTCTCGTGTGGAGCTGACATCCATCCCCTTGTGTGCTGAGGTGAGTTTCACTAAACACTGGGGAAGCTTCTGGCTTTCCACTTTAACAGCAAGAGTCTGGGGTCTGAGCTTCTCAGGATTCAGCACCCTGACAGCTTTCTCTCACCCTGCACATCCTTACCTAATAGAAACTTCACAGAGGCTAGTTCTTATTGCTTGGGGTATGCCAGGCCCTTCATACGGATTCTCCCATTTATACTCTGAACAGCCCTGTGAGGTAGGACCATTAGTATTCCCATTTTAGAAATGCAGAGACTGAGGTTCAGCGAAGTTAAACAGCTTGCTTAGCGTTTCCAGTGTCTGAGTTGTGGTCAGGACCCCAGCAGGGTGAGCCCAGAGCCTGTGCACCTATGCTGTACTTTTGCGTTTGCTCCCACTGGAAACCTGAGCCCCTCCCTGCTGGCCCTCCCCGAATTTCCCCCATTGGACATACAAGTATAGGATCTGGCGATGCTGACATAGACACCAAAACACCAAGATGACAAGCTAAAGGTCAGAAAGAGCCAAGAGCCCACAGAGAGGGCCCAGGAAGGCACCTCCTAGGACGGACGCCTGTGGGTCAGTGTGGTAGAAAATATCCCTAGTTTTCACAGTAGGGAGGTGGAGGGAGGGCGGATCTGGGAGGAGGCAGACATGAAAGAACAGATTCGGGTCCTGGAGCTTATGCAAGCTTTATTTAAAAATGTACCCCTAACTGCATGTAATTGATAAAAAACCATAAAATAGAGCTGTGCATACTGCTCTGGAACCAGCTTCAGGATAGATTCTCTGCTGAAAAAAAGCAGTGATAGAACAGTGTTCCCAGAATGCCACATTGGTTCAAAAACGTTTGTATGAAAACACATCACTAGAAGGCTACCTAAGAAACCAGCAACAATGATTGCCTCTAAGATTCATTTTGTACTATGTTCTTCTATTACTTTTTCAAATATATGCACATGCATAACTTGGTCTAAAAACGTTCTTTTTGGAGCTATAATAGGTGGATGGTATCACTATTTATGGAGTGGAGGTGACGTGGCTGAGGTTCTGTGAGCCAGGCTGTCAGTCAACTCTCCATCTCAGGATGCAAAAGCTCCCACTGCTGAAAAAGCAGCCGTCCTGGCCCACATAATAAAGTAACCTGTACCAATGGTCCCTTCTTTACCCTCTGGAATATTCTAACATACTTCAGGTCAGAGGTGCAGTTTGCAGAGAAAGGGTGGGGCTCCCTGGGGAGAGAGAAGAGGCTGAGGAATCTGTGCGTTTGGGGCCTATCCCCCTGAGCGTGAGGGTGCAAGGCCAGCCTGAGGAGGTAAGCAGGTTCTCACCTCTTTTCCTTACACCCCCATCCCCGCCCCAAGATGCTCAATATCTCTGAGCATGCTTCTTTGTGTTTTGTGTGTGCCTGTGCAGTGCACATCAGCTCAGCAGCATGTGTATAACTATATCTTTGTGTGTGTGTGTGTGTGTGTGTGTGTGTATTTTTGTTTCTGCTGCCTTATTTTGATACTGCACTTCTGTGGATTTGTGTAGACGGGGCAGTAACACGTGGCGATTGGGACCATGGACCCTGAAGCCAGGCTCCCCAAGATCAAACCCCAATTCTGCTGTTGTGACATTGTCAAGCAGATATTCACCCCTGACCTTCCTGTGGGAGTAGGGATGCCAGATTTGGCAAACAAAAATACAGAACATCCAGTTAAATTTGAATTTCATTTAATTTAATCCCAAATGGAACAATTAACAGTAAATATAAGTATTCCCATGCAATATTTGGGACATGCTTATACCAAAACTTTATTCACCATTTATCTATAATAAAATTTGAATTTCACTGGGTGTCTTGTATTTCAACTGACAAACCGACAGGGGAGGAACATGATTCCCCAGCATGGTTCTCCAGCCCCATTGGTGCTGGGCAAAGTCATGTGATTTGCTTTGGCCAATGAAAGGCAGGCACACGTTACCATGTATCGGCTCTGAGCTGAGGTCTTAGAGGCCCTGGGTGTCTCTGATCGTCCTGCCATCCACAGTGGCAGGAGCAAAAGCTACTGTATCTTCTGCAGAGGCCCAAAAGGAGAACACATGGATCAGGCTTGAACCCAATCTGAGCCCAGCTCAGCCAATCCATAGACTATGAGTGAAAAATAAATATTTATTGTCAAAAGCCTATGAGATATTGAGGCTGTTTATTGCCACAGCAAAAGCTAACTTCTACATTAACTGTATGACCTTGAGCAAGTTATTTAATCTTTCTGTGCCTCCGTTTCCTCATCTCTAACCCACCTCATAGGGCAGTTGCAAAGGTTGAATTAGTTAATGCAGGTAAAGACCTTAGAGAAGGGCCTGGCACACAGTAAGGGCTCTGTACGTGCCAGCTGTTATCATCACCGAGGGGCACTGGTTTATTTCTACATGTGTGTTGGTATTTGTGTGTGCTCTGGGTGAAGGGTGGGCTGGAAAGTATGGCTGGTGACCAGGACAAAGAAGCAGATGTCCTTCTGACCCGAAGGGCTTCGTGGAGCTGGGACAGAGGTGAGGCGGTCACCTACTCACCTGTTGGGAGTAACACCCCAGCGGGGGGTGCAGGGCTTGCTGATAGGGCATCCTGGGTGTCCGCTGTGGGACTAGACCCTAGGGAGAGAAGACAGAACTCAGTGCCGTGGAGCAAAGGCCCCCAGCCAGAGAGCAGCCACGGGACTCAGCTTCCAGCTCACATGTCTGGATCTCCAGACAACGCCCTGCAAGCCAGACCCTCCAGCTGCCATGTCCAGCTGGCATCAGGCCAAGCAAGCACAACTCGCACCAAATAGGAAGCCCCTGTTTAACAGGGTTTACAGCATTTTTGGTGAGTATTTAAGATAAGAGCTTCAGGAACCTGGCTGGGTCTTGAATCCCAGATCTTTCCTTGAGTGGCTGTGTGACCTTGGGCAAGTCACTTCACCTCTCTGAGCCTCTTTTCCTTTGTCTATAAAAGTATGTGTGTCCAAGACTATAAAACTTGTGAAGGTATCCAGGTTCTCTTTGTTGCTGTCTATACCCCATTCCTAAGTTCCTTTCTCCAAATCCCATTTCTGCCCCAAGACATGAGGTGACCATGTACATCTGTACATACGTGTTCTAGTTTGCATCCATGTTTATTTAATCACATTTACACATGGACTTCCATCTGTGTCTGCAGCTGCATGTTTCTGTATACAAATATGCAACTGTGAACCCAGGTGTATTAGTTTGGACCTCTGCTGCTGTGTGTCTGTATGTCCACACATACACCTGAGTCTGTATCTTATGATGAGGATTGATGTGAAGATAAATGAATTAATGCACCTAGAGGGCTTAGAACAGGGCCCAGCACATAGAGAAGATTCTGCAAATGTTAGGTATTATTAGCATCCCTCACTGTGCCCCCACCCCTTCTCTGGCAGCTCAGCTAAATGAAAAATAAAAATTTTATTCATAACTCTGTCCAGGGTGGCCTTGGGTACACACACACACACACACACACACACACACACACACACATAACAGGATGGCTGCTGTGGGTGGGGTCAACCCATGACTCCTCAAGTCTCAGGCTGCCTCTACCTGCCAATCCAGAGTTAGCTCCTAAGATGTAGCTCAAAACTCAAAGCACCCCTAGACCACAAGACCAAAGCATCCCTATCTTTCCAGAAGATTCTGTACCCCAAGACGCTGCCTCAAGTCTGGTCTCAGCTTGTGCCAATTATGAAAGTGTTGATGGCTGACCCTGTGCCCTTGACGACTTCTTTAGAGCCAAGAGTTCCTTGTAAAAGGCTCCAGGTCCCTGACATGGGCTCTGGGGAAAAGTCTCCCAGCTTTCCTAGTGCCCCATCTTCCGGGTCCCCAAGAGCACACATCCTCTGAGAACCCTTCCTTGCTCTCTGCTCCCATGCACCTGATACTTGACCGTGGTGGGGTCCCTCCCACTTACACCAACCCCTTCACCTGAAATCAGTGCACCCGCTCCCCTTTTCTCTAAGCCTCATAACGCAGGGCAGCCCCACTCACCACCATGACCACAGCCAGCAGCCATGGCCTGAACCTGGACAGAGAAGTCAGATGGATGGGGCTGCCCTGCCTATTCCCAGCCCTCAGTGAGCTCCAAGACCAGAGTCTAAGTGTCACTGCTTTGTTTCACTCCCTCCCTCCTGCCTCCCCTTCACCCCCACTGGCTCTCAGCTCTGCTTTGCACAGCCAACTCCCCCAGGCCGCCATCCTCCCCAGGCCTTCTTGGGACCTGTGCAAGACAAACAGCTGCCTGGCCCTGCTCTGTCCTGGGGCAAATTTTCAGAAGACGGTGCCATATTCATTAGTATGAGCAACTCTATGACTTGAAGGACATTTCCACTTGTTCCAAATTGCAATTCTGTAAAATCACAAGCAAGGGTAAATAAACATTCATTCTTCTTTGCTTGCAGCCACGGCCTCCTCCCGTGCACCCTCCCTCCTTAATTGGGAGCAGGGTTCCTTTATGCCAGGCAGCCCAGGAGCCTCTGGAGCTCCTCGGTGCTGGGGACTTAGTCTTCCATGGCCTGTGTCCCTCCACAGCAGAGCTCTGAGTAAATTGGATCTCGAGCCTCATCTTTATTCTTAATGCCAAGCAGGAAAAGAGATTAGGATAAACTGTTGCCCATTTCTTCTCTCTGTCTCCTCAAGGTCTGCGGAGCTCCCTGAACCTGTATCCTAGGAAGGCCAGGGCTAAATCATAACAAAAACCAACATCTGTATCATGCTTTAGATTTTATTATACGAAGCCGTTTCCCATCCATGGACTCAATTAACCTTACAACTGAATCAAAAAAATGCTGCTGCTGCTGTAATTACAATAAGCCCATTTCACAAGTGAGGAAGCCAGGGCTCAGAGCATTTGGCTAACTCGCCCACGGCCACACAGCTTAGAAGCAACAGGAGTCTGCTGATTCCAAAACCTGCCTTCTTTTTATTATCCAAGGCCCCTGAGTCATGAGAAGCTGGGAGAAGATAAATTATGCCCTAGTTTTTTTACTACCTGGGAGGGTTAATGTCTGCAGTCAACTTCAGCCGGGCCCAGTAGGTGCCTAAACTGCCTCACAGGACCCAGGGGCCCTACCAGCCAGGGCCCTCAACTGCTTCTGCCCAGAGGCCAGGGAACCTGGGAGTCAGGCCTGGGATGCAAACACTGGCATCTCTTAAGACACAGGACTTTCATACTTAAATGCAGCCAACGATTTCACTCATATGTGGGATATAAGAAAGCACCAAATGGAGAAGCAAAACAAACTCACAGACACAGACAACAGTAGGGTGGTTCCCAGAGGGGGCGGGGAGTGGGAGGAGGATGAAGAGGGTAACAGGGGATCAAATATGTGGTGATGGAAGGAGACGTGACTTTGGATGGTGAGCCCCCAATGCAATATACAGATGATGGATTATAGAATCATACACCTGAAGCTTACATGAGGTTATTAACCAAGGTTACCCCAATAAACATTTTTAAAATGTCCAAATCTTACCAACTCCAAAAGGTCAAGTCAGAAGAATTAACATAGCAGAGAGATATTATCCCCCGTGTATTAAGCAAGCCACTGGGAAGAGTAGCTTTACATGGTGAGCCCAGGAGTGCGTTTTACAGAGAATTGGTTTACACCAAATAAAATTATGCAATTGTTTGTCTTTCAGAGATGGGGGTGCACAGAGTGCTGGTCTGGGGTTGCTCCCGACTGGTGCTGGACCCCAAGCTTCTTAGTTATCTTTGAATCCCCTCATCCAGCCAATGCTCGGCCTATAGTCGGTGCCCAGCAAAGGTTTCTAAAATGACTGAAATAGATGAGTAAATAAATAAACGGAAGTGAGTGCATCGATGGGCAGGTGACTGGATGACTGAAGAGTGCATGAGCAAGCACAAACATGGGAGGGTGAATCTGTGAGCACACGAACGGTGCATTTCTCTCCAGACCAGTGTTGGGACAAGATATCCTAGGGACGGAAAGGACAGACTTTCAGTTCCCCCTCAATCACACTTCATGAGCACCTCTCACCTCTGTGGTGGGGTGTGAGAGCAGGGTGGCCACTTGTCCTCTTTAGCAAAGAAAAAAAAAAAGGCTTGAAAACAAAACTTCGGAGAGAAAAAGAGATTTTGCTAAACTCCTTTAGCTCCTGTTTAAGATTCAGGGGCTAAGTCTGGCGGACCAGCTCGGAAGGGCTCTTGATGGACTAGAGAGGACAGCTTGCTGCTCTGTTGTAAAGGAGGGAATGACATAGGGACTGAGGGGCGGTGGGAGGGGCAGGGGCACCGAGACAGGACAAGACTTTCAGGCGACCTTCCTTCTCTCTTTGCCCACTCCAGGCTTTGCCAGGCCAGGCTGGGGCAGAAGATTAGTAAGGACTTGGCCCCACAAGTTGATGTGTGTCCCCACCCTTCCCTCCAGATGCCAACATGTCCCCTTGAGAGGAGCCAGGTAGGGGAATAGAAGACAGAAATCTCAGACACCGAGCATCTGTCCTGGAGAAACTGAGCTCTACCGAGAGGGACTATATTAAGCTGTTGGATTAGACAATGGTTTAAACCAGAGTGGACATTTATTTGATTTTTTTCTCTTTCTACCCAGTGGGCAGCAGCTCTTAAGGGAGATTAAGTTGAATAGACAAACTACAGAAACTACATTTTCTCTGCATAAATAAGGTCTGTGAGTAAAATGTCTAACCTTCTGCTACACGTGTTTCACCATTCCTTTGTGCCTGGCCACTAATTTCCTTTCAGCTATGAGCCCAAGACCAAGAATGTGCACCGAGCCACCTTAGCCGGTACACACTAAGGCTGCTCAGATGAAGTGTAAATGAAACTTCATTTGTCATCTACACCAGGACACTTGAGAGTGAAAGAGGTGCTATTAATAATTATTCTGGGACAAAAGACCTAAACTGGGACTGTCACAGGTAATCTAGGATGCGTGTCATCCAACTATAAAGGAAGTCACAGGAGGTGGGTGGGAAAGAAGGACTACTATGCCATCATCTATCCTGGGTGCCCAAGCCCTAGCAATGCAGCTCTGGAACGCACAGCCCAGCGCACCCAGACCAAGGACATTAGACACATATATGCATATGCATGTGTGTGCCTGCGTGCGCATGTGTGAATGTGTGTACCAAGTAGTTGGCTTGATGCGGGCACAATGAAGCAATTAAGTAACGATTCTAAAGGTTCTTTGTGCATTAGGATCCCTGACAAGCCACAGCTCCTCTGTGGACAGAACTGGGTAGATGGTCACTGGAGAGCCAGGCCCAGGCCCCTGTCACTCACTCACCTGATACTGTGGGAAGGTGGAATGATTTGTGAACACTGGCACAGGTGGATAGTTGAGGTTGAGCCAGAGTGGCTGGTTCAGGGATGCTGAAGTTAAGGAGGTGGCAACGTGTGGGTTGAAGATATTCCCTGCATACTTGAGGTTGTTCTTGTCGGCCACTGTCACAGGTGGGCTATCTGTAAGTCACAGGAGAGGGAGAGCAGTTAAGTGACTGGGGGAGGGAGAGGCTAGGATGCCTCCAGCACCATGACTGCTCCCAGAGTTAATATTCTCAGAGGTCAGGTCTTTTAAGCTCCAAGAGTGCTCTTCAAGTTCTAGGGAATTTCCAACTACAGGAAAACATCATGAGCTCACACCTTGCCAATTTGGAAGGGGTGAAACTCCCAGCAGGGTCTGCCTGGGAGCTTCTCTCTCCCTCATTCACTAGTAAAGGAGGCAGTGTAGCAAGAGAATACAAAAAACCAGATTGCTAGGACTATATTTCACCTGCATTCAGAACCAAGTTCTTTCGATCGCTTTAGAAAAATCCAGTTTTATACAAACAGTTGGTAAGCTATTAGAAGTCATTCTTATCAAATTATTAAAGCAGCTCCCTGAGGACATATACTTGGCAATGCTGAGGACCTTGCACATGTTGATGTATCTATATTGGAATCATTTCTTTTAAAAAACATTGGAAAACATGATATGGGTCACTGTGTTACGACACAAACTTAATCTGACTGAGATTTGGTTGAGTTGTTTCAGGATATGACTCCTGGACCCTCTCTTACAATAAGTCTTGTGGGCTTATAGATTCAGAGATGGGGCCTCAGTTTCCTCTTATTGGCATCCTTGTTGGGAAAGGAGGCTTGACTCAAACAGTTGTAGGAGGGCAAGGGAGAGAAAGCACGTTCACTAATAATCTCAATATATAGATAATCTAAAGCATGGGTTTTCTGTGGCTTGGGCTGTGTTCAGATTGACCACAAAGGATGACCATGTGACCCCGGAAAGCCAACAGCATTTCTCTAGCTGTTGTATTCCCAGTAACAGGCATGGGGAGAAAGTCATTTCCACCATTTTACAGGTTTGAAAACTGACACTCAGAGAAAGACAGTGACTTGCCCATGGATGAGACAGCCATTTGATGGCAGTCATGCCCAGGGCCTAGGAGGGTTTCTGACATTCCTTCTTCTACAGACTCTCTCTGGGAAAGGTCAGCTTTACATTTTAGCTCCAGCCCATCCACCTCTTTGCTGTGAAGCCTCAGCTGCCCACTCGGGTTCTTAGTGGCCCCAAGGAACTCACAGAGCAATTTCTTCTCAGCTGGCCATACAGGCTTCTTGGCTGGCAGGGCTATGGACATGGAGCCCATTAGGTCACTGCAATTCTCTTCACCACAGGTGCTCTTCCAACTCTGGGACCACTGACTGAGAAAGAGGCTCTCTCGACCCTTGGTTGGTTCCTTGGTGCCAGGGTTCCAGTCTACAGCAGGAGAGAAACTGAGTGTTGGATGCAGGGGGCACCTTCTTATGGGCTAAGTGATGGATCCTCTACACACCTCAGCCTTAGACCACTCTGGGGTCTCTCTCCCCGTAATCCAATCCCAATCTCTTCCCCGAGGCCTTCACTGACCACTACCCATTCTGGTCTTCCCCTCTTATGCATGCATCCATTTATCCATCAATTCTTCCCTTCCTTCCTTCCTTCCTTCCTTCCTTCCTTCCTTCCTTCCTTCCTTCCTTCCCTTCCCTTCCCTTCCTTTCCCTTCCCTTCCTTTTTTCTTTCCTCCCTGCCTCCTTTTTTCCTCCTTTACGTTCCTTCCAACCCTCCATACTGCCGGTCTCCAGTTCAGAGCTGATGTGGACACGGTTCTTGCCTTCAGGGAACACCTGGCTTAGTGGGGGAGATGCTCATGTCCACAGACACATGGTCTGAACCACAGCCTGGTTCTTCATCATGGACTCTGCCTTGGTGACCATGGGCAGTTTAGCTCACTCAACAGTGCCAGGCCCTGACCTGAGTACTGGGGACACTGTGATGAGTCAGAGCCAGATCCGGCTCTGCAGGATCTCACAATAAGGAGGAAGAGAGAGACAGACCCAGAAATAGCTCCGGACAAGGCAGATGGGGATTGTGAGGTGACAGTGGGACACAGTGGGAGAAGAAGGTGGCTGAGACAGCTTCGATCTGAGAGGACCAGAGGGCTTCCAGAAGGAAGTGGCCTTTTAGCAAGGCCTTACATCCAGGGGCGTGAGGGGACAAGGAATGACAGGCAGTGAGGATGCGTCAGAGACACGGAGTGAGCCACAGGCTGTGGTCAGTGCCAGGCTCAGGTCTCTCTCCAAATAGACCAGCTCTTCCCCTAGTGCGAGGACACTGCACCATCATGGGACCCTCTACATCCGTGGTTTTCACGCATATTTCCTTTTTAGCAACGGAACCTTTTCTTCAAACAAAATTAAGAAGGCGTTGCTTGGCTGAAGGAGGGAAGAGGCTTGGCACCCACAGCACCCTTCACCCCTTCCCCGGCTAGGGTGTCCCGTTCTCCATGGAGCTTGGCTGAGAAGTGGCACTGGACATACATCAGGCACATCAGACCATTCGGCAGCAGCTAGATCAGAGGACTTGCGTCCGCTGCTACTTGTTGGGAGTGGATCTGATCACGCCAGCTCTTGCCACCTCCCGCAGCCCAACAGCCTTAGGGTTAAGTCTGGGCAGGACTGGACCTGCCCACCTAGCGCCATCCCAGCAAAGAAAAGATCTCCTTTAGCCTGAGCCAATTTAGGAGAAAATGACATTTTTAGCAAAATGTGTCCCTAGAGTCTCTTCCAAGAGTTTCTCCGGTTGCTGAGTTTTGCCCCTAGCTAGTATGCTGAAATAACAATACACACTAATAATAACCTTTTCCCCAGAGAGCCACACACCTGCAGTCTTCCACACACACCTTCAGTCCCCCTAAACATGCTTGCCACTTACTCATCTCCAAAGCTCCCGCTCCCAACATCTGTGTACATAGACACACACACATTCCTGCCTGTCATTCCTTTGATTCATTCACACGTACACAACTACACACACAGGACCGACACACACATGAGCACATACACATGGACACACTCAGATATACCCACACCCACATTTTCTCTAACAAATACACTCACACTTGTAAAGCTCCCTTTGGCACACGTTTGTACACACAGACACATGCAAAGGGTGGGGAGGGTGGATGAGACAGGACTACTTCCCAGCAGCCCCACTGGAGAGAAATAGCCATGCATGCTTACTGGAGAAGGAAGTGGGAAAAAGTCCCCTCCTTTAAGCAGAGCTAATTCTCTCACACAAATGGCTGTGCCCCCAAAGAGCCCTCTGGCTTCTAGAGGCCTGCCCAAGAGCTAGAGTCCAGCTTGCTGTCCACAGTTCTCATTCCTTGGCCTTCCCATAAAGCTCAGCACACAGAATGTCCTTTGGAGTGTGCGTGCTCCTATTTTCTTAGGAACATGGATTTGGGCCCTCTCACTAGAGGCATCTCTCAGTTATCCATCCATGCTCACAGACTGGGGGTAAATTTTCTTCTGGTTTTCTCCTAGTGACAACTGACTATAGGCAAATGCCACTGCCATCAGTCTGCTTTCTTGGAGCCATCTATTCTGAGTGGCTGAAGAACAGGTACAAAACTGCAGAAGCTGGGAGGTGGGTAGGGGGCGCTTGGGAGTGGTTGGATCTCTTGGGAAGGATGTGGACTCCTCAGGTAGGGGATGCATAAGAGTCTAGAGGCCCCAGCGTCTGAACTGCACCTGGAGAATTTAGACGTTCACCCCCTGCCCCAGAGAGAGAAGCAGTCCTCAAGGTCAGAACAGGCACCTCCATCAGAAGCCAAAAATGACCCCAGCTGTCAGTCAAATCTCTCTTCCATCCAGCTTAAAGTCCCCATGTTGCATTTCTGCCCAGGACTCAGCTGGGGTAAACACTACCTTTGGTGTACTCTGGATACCTGGTGGATTGAAGAATGAGCCAGGTACCAAACGTGCCTGTCCCTCTTCTCAAAGCACATTGGGATCAGCTGTGCCCTGTACATGGGCACCCAGCACAGGGGGCTGGTGGGCACTAAAAACAGCTGCCCCAAAGGGCTGTACCACCAGAGAGGCCACCTTGTCCTCTCTGCACAAAGATGCTGCATCCACTGCTGCAGCCCAGTTGGCTGTCTGGTAAGTGTCTCCTCCCTGCAGGCCCACCTGCCAGCCCTGCTTCCCGCCCCGCTCACCCATCAAGTGGTGGCCCTCCACAGCAGGGTTCATCTCGGACTTGGAGCAGAATTTGGCAAACACTGGGAGCTGCCTCTTCTGATCAGGAAGCTCGGAGAGCTTATTGGAGGGTGCAGGAGGAGGCGTGGGGGGCAGCAGCAGGAACGGGCCCATTCCTCCGGGCTCCCTGGGTCGGGGGCCACCGAACATGCTGTACTGCAGGAAGTCCTTGATGACCGTTGTCTCCTCCAGTGTCACCTTAGTGTCAGGGGCCTTGGACGTTTCCATGGACTTCAGTGGAAACTGGGTCAGGAGCGTTCTGATCTCCGAGTTGTAGGCACTGAGGCTGTGGCCCCTGTCTTCTCTCCCCTTGGTACTCTTGACCTTGGTAGTACGCAGAATGCCTGTGACTGTAGACAGGGCAGAATTGCAGGCCTGCCGGCTGCCAATAACAGGCATGGCCGCTTTCGGCTCCAGAAGCTTGTCACTGGCAATGACAGAGGCTCCTGGGCACTCACTGCTACCTGCCACCAGAGGAGGCATGAAAAAGCATGGAGCTGGTTGTCTAGGCCCCTTGGGAGAGCTGCTGGGTGCCTCTGGCTTCCCCAAACTCTCTGTGACCAGGATGAGGTGTTCTTTGGTCAGGCTCAAGAACTCCTGCTCCACCAACAGGGAGATCTCATCTTTTCCATTGCTGAGCTCCAGAGCTCTGTAAACAAGTCAGAAAGAAAAATGGCTTTATTGCTAGCTTGTGAAGGGTGGCTCTGCAACAGGGCGTAGGCCCCAAGAAAAGGGATGGGGAAGACATGTTTCTAGGTAAGAGAAACCGATTGCTTTCTCAAGAGGAAAAATGGACCAACAGGTGAAGTAAATAAATGCTGTGCTTGCCTATCCCATGAACACATCAAAATTACAACTAAGTTATAGAACTATCAACCTGGAGCACCACCTGAAGTCTAGCTGAACAGACGTTTTATAACTAAGCATATAAAGAAGAAGCCACGCCGAGACTAGTAGGAGGGGCAAAGGTGCAAAACATATTGGCCCCAAACTTCTGTGTGACACTTGAGAATCAGGAGGGATAGCTCAGCCTCGAAGGTTCCCCAGAGGAACAAGGGACCCTAGCCCTACACCAGTCTCCCCAGCTCAGAGTACTGGTGCCACAAGCAGGAGCCCCCATAAAATCTGGCTGTGGAAAACAGTAGGGATTTCGACCACTTGAGTGGGACGGGAGGCTGGAGGAAACCCAGATTTCCTCTTAAAGAGCCCGGGCACAGACTCACTCGCTCATAGGCACTCACCGTGGGCTCCAGCAAAGGGACAGTGATGGGGGCGGGGTTGGGGGTGGGCAGGCAGGCATCGGAGACATAAGGGGAAAGACTGAGTTGTGTGGCTGCAGAGCAAAGATTTGAGGGACAGTTGCCATTTTTCCTGTGTGGGTTCCTGCTCCCCTGCATCTTTCCTGTATTGCGCCCCACCCCCCACCCCCATCCCGTGTCCATGGCCAAATTTGAATCTGAATTGTTCTGGTGAGCTCCACTCTGTCCACCCTAGTGACTCACTGAGAAACCGCCACACCCAGCTCTCTACCACACAAGGCTTTACCAGCAGCTAAACCTTACAGGAGCTGGCAGCTGGCAGCAGGCCTCGGAGTGTCCTGGCTTTTTGCAGAGCTACCCCAGACCTGGTACTGGTGGCAGCTGTCCTCAGGTCACATTGTGGCCTTTCCCATGTGCCTCCAGATCCAGCACACGCAGCGACCAACTATGGATTGCTTTGTAGCTCCTACCAGGTAGTCCCTGGCTGGTTACAGGCAGGGGCTGACCTGGGCCTGCACCAGAGCCCTTCTCAGGAAGTTCCAGAAACAACATACTTGGAGGTTGGCTTCAAACACAGCAGAGCACCACCCAATTAGCCCCACAAGTGACACACCCAAAGGGTGGTCTCAATAGGCACCAGAGCCCACTGGAATGAATTCCACTCTATGGGATAAGCCCCCCACAGCAGCCTGTAAGCTGTGGACATGGTCTAACCCCACAGCCAGTCATCCTGAGGGTCAATCCCACTGATGTGCCAATTGCAATCCAGGCTCAACTATAGCAGGAGGGCACACACAACCCACACAAGGGACAGTCCTGGAGCACCTGGGACAGGTGGCCAGGAAGACTGTGTCACTGGGCCTCACAGGGCACCTACTATATAAGGCCATGGGTGAGACTGGGACGCATAGCACATCTACTTAATACATAGAAACAAACACAGAGAGGCAGCCAAAATGAGGAAACAAAGAAATACATTTCAAATGAAAGAAAAGGAGTAAACTCCAGAAAAAGAACTAAACAAAATGGAGGCAAACTACCAGAGACAGAGTTCAAAACACTGATTATAAGGATGCTCAAGGAACTTAGTGAGAATACATGACAGAGGTGAATGGGCCTCTCTGGAAACTGCCATTCCCAGGAGGGACTGTGCAGTACCAAGAATGGAGGGGCCCACTTTGGCTGTTTATCCTCCACGTGCCCCTGAAAGACTGTCCAGAGCACCCGGCCCTCCCTGGGACAGCTGCTACAAACTCCCATTTCCGTGCATCTGCCACAGATTCATCACAGGCCAGACTGGAAGCCAGTATCCACATACATGCTTGGATGTAATTCTCTCTACACCCCAGGACAATAGACAGGATCATCCCCATTTTACAGATGAGAAAAGTGAGCCTGAAAGAGGCTAAGGACCTTGTCACTGAGAAAGTGAAGAGGCTGGTGTGGAGACGTGGGTGGGTCTGGGCTGCCATCACTGCCTCCTCCCACCCCACTGGGCTTTCTATCCAGGGATATTATCCAGCGAGTTCTCCCAGCTCACTCTGAGGCTGGGCTTTGTTCCCCAATCTGAATGCAGTCAGGGATATCGCTGGGCTCATCCCATCACTTGAGCCTATGGAGGATCATTGCGGTGAATCCCGATACTGTCATCTGTGGCATTAGCTGTCCCTGACAGCTCCGTGTCAGCTGCATGTCTGATGAGCATGTTTTCTGGGTCTCCCACCAACTTATGGGTAGAAATGTTGAAGGGGAGAGAGTCCAGGGCCGAGCCTTAGGGACCCTGCTGGAGACCCTCCCCGCAGCCTGACAGTAATCCTGAGTCAACACTTTGAGAGAATAAATCAACCAATTCAGTCACTATCATCTCATCTCCACTTCTCCAAAGCAGCCTTTGTCCGACCCCTCACTGCAATCAAGATTCAGCACAGTTATCCCTGATGAAGGGTCTCCCGACCTGATAATTCCACCCCCAAGAAAATAAGATTCATTTGTTCTAATGTGTCCCAGAAAATTGCATATTCACCAAACTAGGACATTCTCAGAACTCAGATCAAACCATTTCCCCATTTAAACCCTCATATGCATTCTCAGTACACACAGAATAAAACCCAAACTCCTTTCTGACGCCCAGGGCACCACACAAAATGACCCCACTGTCCCCTCCCACTTTGACTTTCCCTCCTTCCAGCCACTCTGGCCTTATAAACATTCCTTGGCATGTCAAGTTTATTCCAGCCCCAGGGCGTTTGCACATCCTATGGAACAGCACATCGTTCCTTGACTGGCTCCTTCTCATCATTCATGCCTCTGTTCAAGTTTCATACTTACAAGTAGTCTTTCCTGTCGCTTTTCTAAAAGTGTCCCCTCATTACTAGACACTTCTCCACCAATCTGCTTATTTTCCTCCTCGTATTTATCACCATCACACAGCATCTTTTTTTTTTTTTATGTCTTTACTTCCCACAGCAGCATAGCATCCCTGAGGTCAGGGGCTGTATCTCGTTCACCACAGAGGCCTTGGGAACTAGAACAGTGCTTGGCACGTAACTCCAGCTCAGTAAGTATTCGTTGAAGAAATGAATGAGCAAGTTCATGAACTTGTCTTTACCCTTGTCCATTTCCAGAGCTCTTGATTTCAAGAGCTCCATTGCCAAAAACTGCCCAACTCCTTGCGCTAGTTACAACCTGTCCGGCTTTGATTTCATTTTCTGTCCTCTTGTCTCATGTGCCACCTCTGGTCTGGCATCCCTAGGAGCTGTTCACTAACCACCCTGCTAGGCCCTGTCCTGACCTCTGCAAGGCAGACCCCATACAGAAACTGCCTGACTCTTAGCAACCACGTTGGGGCTCACAAAAAGATTTTTCATTCTCCCTACAACTTTGCTGGGTTCAACGTCAAGCCTGCGCGCCCGCATTTCCTGGAATCAATCATTTTTTTCTCTCTTCCTAGGAAGTTTTGCCGATGTTGGCACCTCTCCCGTGTTACTTGCTTTCTTTTTTGAGTTGGTAAAAACCATAAAATCTGCCACACTCAGGGAGGTGAACCCAGCTCCCGGGTGCTGACAAAGGAAGCAAGAGTCAGAACTGGTGTCACGGCCCTAGCTGCTGCCACCACCTCTGCTCTGCCCAGCTCCAGAAATGATAGGTGTCGATGGCGGCTCTGTGCGCGGATGCTGTGCGTTATTTCTGCGTTCGCAGTGTACAGAGTTATATAAAAATACAGGCTATTGACTGGCTGGCACCCCTTCCCAGAATAATGACTAAGCAAGCATGCTGTTAGCTCCCCGACAGCAGTTCTGTGTACATGATAACACAGAGCAAAGATGAAAACTGCTATTCATTTGAGCCAAACAACAGAAAAATGCAAGCAGAAAATTGTTAGTGCTGGAAGAGGACATCAAAACAAATATTTTCTTCTCGCTGCGGTATTTCAGACCATCCACAAACAGGGTACCCAGGCTTGGTGCCCAGCAACATGGCTGATTGAAGAGTAAAGCGAGGGAAGGGTTCAAGGGTCCCGCACAGACCTGGGCTTGAATGGCGGTCTGTCTGCAGACTGACCTCATTGGCTGTGGGTGAGATTCTGACTTCTCTACATGCCTGTGTGGGTGGAACACCAGCGCCCAATGGCTAAGAGCTCAGTCTCTAGAAGGAGGCAGAGACTGTATTCAAATCCCCACCACTTCATGGAGGCCAGACCTTAAGCAAGCTTCCTCAGGTCCTAGTTCACAAAAGAGGAAGGAAGATGGGTCAGCCTTCATTGGAGTGCTAACCAACCAGCCAGGCACTGCGCTATGCACTTTCCATGCAAAACTCTGGTTTTCATCCCCACAGCAGCCCCAATGCGGTAGTGTGGCAGACCGATTATAGTAATGGCCCCCAGGTTATCATATCCAGGCCCATTGGTAATTCCTACCAATCTTGACTCAAGTAGTAAGGTAAAGTGCTTGAGCATTAGGGCTTATCTCCTTGTTTGTCTTGGGACTCAGCTACCTCCAGGTGAACGAATCCAGGAGAGCCTCCTAGAGCAGCAGTTCTCAACCTGTGGGTCGCGACCCCTTTGGGGGTCGAACAACCCTTTCACAGGGGTCGCCTAAGACCATCGGAAAACAAAAAGATATTTACATGACGATTCATAACAGTAGCAAAATTACAGTTATAGAGTAGCAACGAAAATTATTTTATGGTTGGGGGGCGCCACAACATGAGGAACTCTATTAAGGGGTCGCGGCATTAGGAAGGTTGAGAACCGCTGCTCTAGAGGATGATACATCCCACAGAGGGAAACCCCAGGGTCCTTAGCCAGCAGTTCGCCAGACCCAGCTGAGCATGAGCAACACGCATCCAAGCCCAGCCCTCACCAGAAAAAACACCCAGCAGAAACCGGCCC